CCACACACACCCACACACACACACACACATACAGAGTTGATTGCTCACAAATAGGCCACAAGATGTGCGCTGAAGGAAGATGTACGAATGTCACACGATGAGCACCAACCTGATAGCTTGTCAGTCTCCAGATTGCTGCACAGGGTAAAGCAGGACAGGAGATCAATCACTGTTATCCTTGTCAGAAGGATACTTGCTAGGTCGTGTCCTTGTTCGGGTGAATCCTTGTTACGGTGCATCTTTGCAAGGGCGCATCAGCAGTCGTATCAAACTCACTTGTTCTGCCGGCCGTCGATGGAGTCGAAAAGCTCCTGCAGCTGGGCCGTTGTCAGAACGCCATCAGCAAAGTAAGCGTTGAACTCTTCAAATGACAGCTTGCCGTCGTCTGGGAACAGCAAATAATAAATCAAAAGGAAGACAGCTTCTGTGCCATTTGTAAAAATGGCCGTCGCGGCATGGCGTCGCCATTCCGAGATTCAGTACTTTGAATTCTGACATTGACACAAAAGCGTATCATTGCTTTTCTGTCCATGATCATGCCTGCATGTCCAATATTTTGTCAGTGATCGACAGCCTGGTGTTGTTTTTTTTTTCGCCTGTCGCTAGCAAATTCTGCAACAAAGAGCTCCCAATTAGCCACTCCCGGGTCCGAACGGTGAATCCGGCATGCTGTGACGTGCAGAAAATGAGCCCATGTTTCAGCCTTAAAAAAGTAAATGGCTCGGATGTCATCTGCAAAGAACCATTCCTTGCCCACCAACAATCTGTGTCTGTCACGCAAACGGTCATTTTAAAGCAATTTGCGGGAGCTGGTGAGTCATTCACTTTTAATAAAGCGGTGTGGTAAAAAACAAACAAGCATAAGTGCTCCCTACTTGGAAAAAGATGCAGACTGTCAACACAGCCCGGTGCATCCTTGCTCGTTTTCATTTGGCTCTGCAGCACTTCTCATCCCGAGCCGACGAGACGTCTGCCCCATAACGATCCTGTCAAGTTCGGCTGATTCAGCGAGACGGAAGCCTCAAGGGCGCCATCTGTTCAGCTGAACCCGCACTGACAACGATTGTAACTACCTCAGCCCGGAGGCGATGCCCCAATGTGCGCCCCCCCCCCCCCCCCCCCCCCCCCCCTAAATCAGCCCCTCGTTACGCATCTTTATTGCTCCCGCGTTGGCTTTCTCCTTCTCCTAAAAAAAAAAAGTGACAAGACTTCCAGCACCGCCAGATGAAGGAAGCCAACTCTTCCGCAACCGAGAGTACAGTCGCACAGCGAAACAGTAGCATGAGCATCGTCATGGATGCAAAGGAGGCGTGGACCTAAACTTTCCTGCCGGATAAGCGAGACGTACTACAGCTGTTTGCTCTGTCCAGTAAATCCATTTCTATGTGGCCAAGGTGCACACATTAGAGGGAGCAGGACAATGGCCATTGAATTGAAGGGGAGGGGGGGGAAATGTGATGACATCTTGACATTCGACACCTATCGTAAGCCACGAGGAGACACCTTCACGTTGCTGCTCCGTTACACAAGGCATAAAAGGCGCAAAGAGAAAGTAAGAAGAGGGCAATTAAGTTACACATACGAACCAAGACCATAGAAGGCGATGAGTTGAACATTTAACGCAAACACGGAAGCATTCTGACTTCATTGGTGACCATTCTATATTGTGAATATATTTTTTTTGAACTTTAATTTTACGGACATATTATCTTGATGTAAGAGTTAAGAGAGTTGATGGGAAGAGAGTTAAGATGAAAACTTTTTTTTTTTTTTTTAAGCATTTATTGTTCAAGATTTGCAATGGTTTTCTTTGGTTAAAGATTAGATTGAAGGTGAAAGGTCGTCAACAACCAACAAGAGCCAAGTTGCATCGAGTCAACTTTTGCAGGTTCAAATTAGGTTGCAATTTTGGAGTATTTAACCAAATTATCCAAACATTAGATGCAAGATTGCAATTAAGAACACAGCGAGGGGCGCTCTGAATCCCACCGGATCGTCTGACGGCCGCGGCCAGATGGTATCAAAGCAAGCGGAGGCGAAATTCAGATCCATCGCCAGGTGGAGGATTAGCTTGTTTGTTCGCGGCTGACGCGCACGTCAGTGCTTCGTCAGCGCGTGCCTTCCTTTGTTTGTTTGATTTTTCAACGGCTTTGCGAGTGGGAGACGGCGGGACGGTGAATTGGATGCAATGCTGATCCATTTCATTTCACAGCGCCGCAGTGCTCATTATGGCTTTTATTTCAGCGAGACAAATGGGCCGAGCGCCCTCAGAATGCTAAGAGAGAATTTGGTGCCAAGCAAGCCTGTGGTAATCAGGATGATGAAAAAAAATAAAATAAAAAAACACTGACAACAAAACAACCACCGAAAAAGGAGGAAACCTTCTCATTCCGAGTGGCCTGCAATCTATACCAAGTCTGGAATAAAAAATGAATCATGCATGAGGAAAGCGCCTGTGCCGCCTGGGTGAAGAAAGCGCCATCACTCTTCTTCTCCTCCATTACGCTAAAAGGAAAAAACGTTTGCAAAGTTTGTGAGGGATCGATCTAAACAAGAGCCAAATGATTGAGCTTTTGAAGTGGGACCCAAAGTAGGAGGCGCTTTTTAAAAGGTTCTTCCCACCGCAGGCATCCGACAAAGATGGGCGGCAGCGAATTGCAAAGTGTCCTAGTCCCTCGTGTCAATCTGCGGCTCCCTCCGGCCACGTGCGTCTCGTCCAGGTGTGCCTCGTTGTTTCATCCGTTTGAATGTATTTAATCCCCCGCTTTCTCTCAGTCATTGTCGGTTCATTGTTGTTGCTGTCGTGTGTCATGTTCATTGAGTGGTGTTTAGAATTGTTTTTTTATTTTTGTGTTGGTTTATAATCTGGGTTTGCTTGAACCATATTTTTTTTGGGACTCGGTGAATTCAGGATTTTGATAACCGCATGAGCTTTGTTTGCCTTTTTTTTCTGTTTTGAAAATAAATTCTTTTTTGGAGATGACTCTTAGTTTTGCGGTCTTGCCTCCAGGCTTCCCTGCACTTGGGGTTCATCTTTTGCCACCGCAACTTTGTGACATTTTTCGTGTTTTCCCAACTCCTATTGAGCCAAATCACGTTTTTTTTTTTTTCATTCAAATAAATTGATCTGGTCTCAGTTTACTCAAAAATGTATTAAAAGTGAAATCTTCATCTGTTTCGTCAAATACAAAGCAATTTTGTCGTCTGAATGGTGACAGGTCAATCGCGCCAACTAGTTGAAGAGCGTGCGATTGTTGCCCGGCCTGTCTCTGAACGTCAATGGCGGAGATTGATGAATGAAGATTGCTTTTGTGGTTCTGATACGCCTTCAGAATCTACAATGATCCATCAGTGTTTACGGGATGGTCGTGACAGTCCACCCGGCCGACTTGATTTTCATAAAAACATCTTCACGAGTTCACCATCGGCTGGAAGCTCCGCCCTGGCAACCATCAGCTGGACTCACGACAGTAATTGGGGTTTTTGAAGCATAGGGACGCCGTCGCTCGTAAATGGAACAACATCCCCGTCGACGCCTGCCGCGTCTTGATTTGTTTTGGCACCTTCCTTCAGCCAGACAGAAAATAAATAGAGCGGGGCGTGTGCAGCCGGCGCAAAAGGCGCAGGGAAAGCAGGTCGTTTCCAGTTATTACGTGACACACTGGAGGATTATTTTCATTTGTATGAGATGGATGAGGCCGGCAGCAAACTGGGTTGTTGGCGGATCGCTGTCGTCCTTCGTATTATTTCAAGATCTGTGCTTTTGTGACGTTTTGCAGCTCCTTAAGTGAACACCCGCCGTTCTACGGTACAGCGTTCCACTTACAGTAATGGTCCCCGAGTCTCCAGTTCAGAATGTCATGAATTATTTGCTTTTTTTTTTGTTAATGTTTTTAAGACTTTTGGTCCACGACCGAATGTATTACAATCCTCGCAGAGCTCTTTTTCATTCTTCCTTTTAGATGTCGTGTGGCTGACATCCCCTTCAGCCTCCCAATTTGAACAATCGACTGGGCATGACTGGATTACCCTCCAAAAGTATTCCAACAGGAAGGCCTGTTCCTTTATTTGCACCCGCGAGAGTTGTAAACAACATCAAATAAACCACTTGGTGGACTAACAAAGTCTAAGATGTCCAAAAGGTAGACCAAGGAAATCAACAGAAAAAAAGACACTATAACAATTCATCCGCTGTTCAATTCAGCCTCACTGTTTGGGTATTTCAAGAGGAAAGTCAGTCAGTTTTTGTTTTTGTTTTTTTCCCCATGGGTAAGGCAAGGCAGTTACAGCGAAATCCTCTGAACTTTGCCTAACAACAGGTGGCCGCAAACATGACCAGGGGAAAAATAAGATTAAAAAATGAAAAAAAAAAGAACGTGTGGAAAGGACACACAAGCATCGGGACACATTGTTCATTCTCGAAGCATCGAACGTTGGCTCACCATTTTTGTCGGCTCGACGGAAAATCTAAAAGCGGAACAGAAGACAGAATTAATTATTCAGTTGAACGGGTGCATATAACAAACATCACTTTTTTTCCCCCGCCCAAAAGATTATGGTTGTGTCACAATTAATACGTGATGAACGCATGCATTTCTTGAGCAGTGATGAGGAGGGTTATTTTTCCCCCAGAAGAAAAGGGAAGAAAAAGTGGACAATGTCATCATGATCAAGGTCTGATCAGCTTTGGGCCTTTTGACCTCAACACACGGCAACATGTCAAAACGATTGTTTGGAAAGGATTTTGTCAAATCAGTTGCTGTGGACGCCAGATGCCTGACGACGTTAAAAAAAACTCACTTGACTCGAGACAAATTCAACTCCGGTAATGTGACAAGAATGAGCATTTAAATGCCCACTTCTGCTCTTTATTTATTTATTAGATCAAATCATCTGTCAGCCGTTTAGTTTTAAGGGTATCCTTGTAAGATGAGTGAGATATGACAAAGTCTGCAACTTCCACGAATTACTCAGGCAGCTATTTGTCCGCAAGTCAAGATCAGTCCCTTCAAAATGCTTGCTTGACACCAATGACTGTACTTATTTCCAATTCGGGAAAGGCTTTACGAACATATAGTGGCATCTTTGCGCATTTTAGAGAAAGCAGAAAAAACATGAGTCGCTGAGTTATTCAGTCTGTAACTACGTCACGCAGAAATAAAATGTGAATACGTTTATTTGTGAAGAGGGAAGCGTAATTTGGCAGGGGTTCACTGTATTTTCTTTTTGCTTACCTCATTGTGGCTATGAGGGACACAATATTAGAAACAGGTCTCCATAAATACAAGCCGAAAATCTCTCTCTCTCTCTCTCACACACACACACACACACACACACACACACACACACA